TTAGCTTCTATCGGCATTATATGAGGTATTAAAATGTTTTTCAAAATCCAGCAGCGACCTGGTTGAAAGGTAAATAGGTGCAGTTCACTTAAAATGACATATAAAATTTCGCAGACATGAAAATCACATGATTTCAAAATTTATTCAGTAGATAATCCACGAGACTATCAAATCCAATTGGTTTCATCTAGGAATTTCAAGTAACGGTCGAATTATGAATTTTTGAAATCAAGACAGAAGATAAAAAACGGCGAGTCTACCTCGTGCAGTTTACTTTATGCGATATATAAAATTCTACCTACATCAGATTGATATGATTCTAAATTCATTCAATAGCTAACTTATGAGGCTATCCAACATCATTGACTTTGTATAAAAATGTCAAGTAACGAAAGAGTTATGAATTTTTAAAGACAATGTAGAAACTGAAATTTTGGAAGAGACAGTAAAACTTTAAATCCCTAACTCTTTTTTTTTGTAAACTGTGATTTGTAAATTATTCCTAGGATACATATCTACTTTCAAACATCATTAGGAATCTAATTTAAAGAAAATATAAACATTTCATAATCAACTAAAAATATTAAATCACCGATTTCTTCATGACATGTCACATCATCCTTTACCATCATCCACACCCTAAGAAAAATTCATTCAACATGTAGGAAGGGAATTAACCCATGAGTTTGAAACTCAATAGATATCATTGGTGCATTTCGTTGTCAAATTAAAAATTTCGAACTATAGATTCATACTATCGCAAGTAGATGGATTTTCGGCAAAATCGAATCACTATAGTATTATTATAACACGAAGAGTCGGAGAATGATCATTCAAACTGTTGTAGTGCCGAAGCACCGTACCCAAGGGTACCACTTCATTCAAATATTTATTGAAAAAATCATAATTTGAAAACGAAATAAACACTTGCAAGTCTACCTTCCTTGAATTTTCTTGGATATCAAAGAACAAAATATATAAAAAGCCTTTTTTTTTCTCCACCCTTACTATTCTTTAAACTTAACTTGACATGAAGTATATTTGAGAGAAAATAAGAGGAAATTCAGATTTGAGGAGGGCTGTAGTGAAAAAAGTGACCTTCCACTTCTTGTAACATTCATTTTCCATTAAAAACTAAATGGTAAGACTTAAAAAAATAAGGTTGTATATTCGTTAAGTTTGTTAAATTTGGTCTTTAACTAAAAATTTTAAAAGTTTCAAAGACCAAAAAATAATTCATATAAAATTTTTATAAAAACATTTACATAATGATTCGAACATGGATTGCTTATATGAAATACCATGTAAATGACCATTGAGGTAACCCATTTATTCGTTAAATCTTTGTAATTAAATTTACTTAAACTTAATCTCTTAATTTGTTGAGCTTCTAATTAACTTATGGTTTGGGCTTTCAAAATCTTAAATGAGTTGAGCTTCATACCTCGTTTCTTCAATGGGCTAGGCTCGTGGTGTTAGATCATCACAAAATAATAGCCTAATTTCATTTTATTTCTTGAGCTTCTACAAAAGACCTAGGAAAAGCTAAGAGAATCTTAGGCATGGAAGTTGAAAGAGATGGGTCAAATTCTGCACTGTTTTTGCATCGTGACCCAACCCATTTACTTGGATGGCTTAGCAATGGAACCCATTTAGAAGCCCATTACTCTTTGTGTTGGGCCTTTTAGGCTGCTACCTAAACCTAACCTAACTTATTTGGTTGTCCATTTGGTTAAATGGACCGTGTCCTCCATTGCCTCCAGTGTACGATTTTGCTGCCTCTTCTTCTCCATCTCTATCCATTTTCGGTTTGCTGCCTTTGTGGTTGATCTTTGTGAGATATTGCCTTCACTTTGTGGTCTCTTTGTAGGTGTTGAATAGCAACTGTAAAGGAGGACAAAATCTGGTTGGGGTGTTTGGTCATTGCTTGGTTGTGGTGTTGATTTGGTGGTGAACTGAGCCCAATATGACCTTGGTTGTTGTGGGATTTCACTCTACATTGTCTATATTAATTAGGAAACGCAAATGTAAAGTGGAGTATCAAATTATTCTGAAATTTATATTACAAATTTTGATTTGTCGACAAAGCATTGTTGGCTTATACCCCTACCTCATGGCAAATAAAAGGTAGTCGTTGAACTGCATTTTCTAAAAGTTTAAGTTGTCAGAATAAACAAACTTATGATGTTTTTTGCACGTTCTACTACCACGTTTAACCATATCAACACGTCCCCACATTTAATATTTTTTTTTATATCAATCTCCCTCTTGAATTCCTTATCTTGAAGGTATATGTACCTGATAATTTGATAACATGGTAGCATGAAATGGCATACGATAATTTCAACCTTTCAAGTGCTATTTATTCTCTATAAATTTAGAATCCACTATGTAAAATACTTAATAAATTGTTTTATTAATATGTGGGCAGGGTGCAGAAAAAACGCAGAATCTTTTTTGGGGCATAGCAGATGATGGTTCTGTCATGATCTGTGACAATGTGGCTCTCATCAAAACTAGCTGTAGGAAATCATTTGCCCCTTTCCCAGCTGGTAAGTGAAATATCTATAATTTGAATTAATAAAAAAAAATACTCACCATCTTATCCAAATTTTGGATAAATTTTGACCATAGTGACAGAGGATTGATGAGCTATGTCCAATGAATAAAATGAAAGATATGCTAAGAATTGACAGTGAAGGGGTGACTACATAATCAGCAAGAAGAATATTATAACTTATCCCGTTTCGATTACGATGAAGAACTTTGAGGTGATCTAGCCTCAAGTAACACCACCATCAACTCTACCACCAAGACATATTCAATATACACCTTCTTCTTCAGCTTCATCATCCTCAAGTGAAATGCCACATCGTTTTAGAAGTTTTTGGGAGATTTATGATGATACCAAGGAGTTATCTCAACATCTTGTGTTTGTCAAGCAATTTTGTTAAGAAATTTGTTAAATGAAATTCAGTTGTAACAAAATTATTTTCCCTAAAAAAAAAAAAAAAAAAAAAAAACTTGTGAATTTAAAATTAAATTTACATTTTTTTTAATTTACATCTACCAGGATGTAAATGAGGATGTAAAAGCAATTTTGGAAATACCAATTTTAATCAACCATTGAAATGAACTCCCCTTTTTATGAATAAAATGCGACACATGGAATATGATAGCAGAAAGAAAAAGCGATGTTTTCGCACTCCTTGTAAATCTAATAATAAACCAATGTAATGAAAAATAAATAAATAAATTGTACTGGGAGCAACGGTTGATTTGTTGTTTATTGTATTGTTTTTGCATTGGCCTGTAATGGGTTTATACAATTTCTTATATGGTCTAATCCGATGTGCCAAACACAAACAAAATGAAGACAAACTGCATGTTGAACAACACTTCGTTCAAAAATTAAACTCTCATCATTTTCATTTCCCAAACGAGAAAAAGGACAACAAAATCAACAGAAGATGGAAAATGTTCTCCTTTAATGTACTAAGTTATAAAATTACACCTACAAGCAAATAGGTTTAATGACTGTAAGTTCATCTGCTCTAGCTTGAAATGATTTGTGATGGTTTAACAGAAAGGATGATGCAGGCAGAGGGCTACTGCCCCGGTCGCACTGTTTCAGTTTGAAATGATCAAAAAAAAATTGACTAAGATGAGTTTCTCATGCTCAACCCCTGAAATAAACGCATCCCTACAAAAGGAAATAAGATATGGAGACCAGCCTCAACAGCGCAATGCAGTCAACCAATCACTCAGAATCAACGTAGATCTGCAGATTTCCCAACGAACAACTAATTCAATTATGTAAAAAAAATCCAAAACCAAAAAGGAGAAGTCTGATAAAGTAAATCTTCAAGCCTACACTTTAACCAAGTTCTACAAAGAGTAGTCTAAGCAGACTACAGGCTCAAATTTTGGCGTTAACAAAGCTGGTATAGTAATTAGTAATTATCATATTTTGAAATGATCTTGATGGGTGGGAAGAAGAAAATTCCCTAAACAGTCAATCATACAGATTATCTCTACTAGATAATCAGTTGAAAGGCAAAGCCAAACTGCTAACATGGCCAGGCATTGAAACTACTAGCCAGACAAATTGTCCACACTAGCAGATAAATGCCAACATAAAGTAATTATTTTTCTAGTTAACAAATAATGCGAAGCTTATAGAGATAACTAACCTCCAGTTCCAACAGAGAATCGTAAGTTTTTTTCTCTACAGTGTCAAAAACTGTAAAGCCACTGATTTTCTGAATCCCATTCTTTATAGCAATCAAGTTCTGCGAGCAAAATGAGCACGAGAAGTTCAAAAGAAATTCTGTAACCCTTTAACAATAAAACAATTCTGGCTATGCAATTTCAATTGCAAGTTACAAAGGTAAAGAGCTCGTTAATTTTAAAAATCTCAAGCAAAGATTACACATGCTAACATTGATTTGAAGAGACCAGAACATCGCAACATATGATCTCCAGTGACTCAGAATGACATAACTTCCTAATGAACACTACTCCAACGTAAGATATTCATAAACTCTATTGCTGTATCAACAATACTGTACTTACAAGCTGGAACTTCAAAGAGCCGAGCGCTTGCACCTCTCCCAAAGTCTGTACAAGAACGCAAAAATCAGGATATCTAGTGTCAGGTGTTAAGATGTTGAAAGTTAGGCAAATCGAACTTCAATGAGGGAATCTTAAATTTGGGGTGTGTGTGTGTGTGCACGTGTCCGTGTGTTCTACCAATGCTATTCACATCTGATCCAAACTTAGCAGTAAATAATAAAAGAGAAGTTCATACAAAAGATAAAAAATGAATAATTAATAGCCATTGGAATGTCTCACCGTTGTCTGAAGACCATTGACCATTATGGCCTTCTCATCGAGTGAATCACTTTGTGACAACCAAACTTCGAAGGGACCCAGTACCCTCTCTGTCTGGTTTATGAGATTCAAATGTACCTATGAGAGCACAAAAGGATGTATTCACAATTCATGATTGACAAATTACAACCAGATGAAGAAAATATATAGCGTGCATTTGAATTTTCCCAAGCTACTTTAACAACATGCACATCATAATCTTCATCTCAACCTCCAAAGTATTGTACCGTCTGAAATGGGATGAACTAAATTGACCATAAGTATAGATGTCATAAAAGACTGGTGCTGCTGATATTGTGAAATTACTTCCAAAAGATTTTAAATACCACAGCAAGTGTTGATCTTTCATGATCAGATAAGATACTATCAATAACATCACTTGAACATAGATCTCCCCGTGTTATTTAACAAGAAAGCAATGAACACAGGCCACTATCCTGTGTCTCACCATTTTGCGCCCACCAGCACAACTAAACATATATCAAATTCAAGAGGTTCACGTAAGAAGAAAGAGAGAGAGAGAGAGAGAAGGTGAAAGAAAACAGATCTAGAAAAGAAATACAAACTTTCAAGTTGCAATACTGTTACTGATAAAAACTCTGGGTATATTATTAAGTTATTAATAAAGTAGAGATAATGGTACATAGGCATCATGATAATGCACGAGAACATTTTCTTTGAGGGAAGAGATGGAAAGATGAAGTAGGGAGGAGAAATCCTGAACCAACACGTTATGCAATTCCTCAGTATCATTTGTCATATATACAATGATGCTTACCAAGAAAGGTTTTTCCAGGATTATGACAGATGGCACCTCCACAGCCTGCAACTCAATCACCTTGCGTGTGATGGGCTGCAATTAATACAAAGAACAATAAATTTGTCAATTTGCAGATTAAACTAAACATAATATTAATTAAAGAAATCACAAAGGCCAGTTATAATCGGAAACATGTGAAAGAAATTATCGTTCTTGGTAATCATGCTTTATGGAATTTGTCAATTAGCTTCATTTTTTTATTATTTTTTATTTATTTATTTATTTTTTTCGGCAGTTCAAATGTCAAGCTTCTGGACTAGACAAAGGAGGGGAGAAACTTACATTACCAAGAATATGTTGTGTCTGCAGGCGACCGGGTTCACCCAAGTTTGTACGCCAAGTTATTTGAAGTTTACCTAGAACATTACTTCCCTCAACTTTCACTTGAGCAGTTACCTGAGAAGATGATCTTAACTGATAGAGATAATTGTGAATTCCTCCTCCAGACCTGATGAGAACAGGGGGCTTGGAAACTTCTCTGTCAGAACAAATTAGCACTTAGAGGATAAAAATTGTTGGCTAATGCCAATAATAAGTTGGATAAGAATACCCATCTCTACTTTAAAAACAAAATGAAAAGAAAGAAAGTCCCAATTGTTCAGAACTGTTCATTAAACATTTTGCCACACCTAGTCAATAAATTGTGCTCCACAGAATGAGCTTCAGCTTTTAACATTGTAGCACTCCAATGCTGAGCTGGCTCAAACTCAACTTGGTCCATGTACAGATTAGATTTTGTATGATTTTCTATACAAGCCTCCAGAAAAGTTGTCTCCTGAGAGGGAGTGCATTTTGACTATTACAAAGAGGAAGATATGTCCTTATAGTATGCAGAAACCAAATTTTGCATTTGACTCTGCTTATGGCCTTTTTCAAGTAAAATATGAATTACCGAGTGAACAGTTCACATTATTCATAGTAAGGTAAGAAAATGTGACATCAGAGACAAAGCAGGATAAATTGGATAAACAGATACTCAGCAACCATCATAGAGCAGATCAACCCCGGTGACTTAACTAATCCTATACATTGTGAATTACTTGGCAAGTCATGAACTTACAGTCATAATGCTTAACCCAATCATCAACCTACCTTCACAACACGAACCTGCATGAATAGGAAAATATACATTTTAAAAGGAGACAGGATGTAATATTGCAATTTTGCAAGAAAAATCATAAAAATACCATATGTCAATACTAGATAGCGTTCACTGCACCTGGTACTTGTAAGTAATAAAGCTAATTTCGATATTTCAATTCACTGAAATATACGAACTGTGTCTTGAGAACGTTAAGGAAGGTACCTTTGTTCTGACTGAGAGGGGATTAGAAACCATGAATTTGAAAAACTGTGGGAGATATTTTCGCTCACTATCACCATCATTGTAAAGTGCTGTGCACACCAATCTACAGATGAAAAATCAAACATCAAAGCCAAGTTAGTACGCAGTTTCTGATAGCAGTAAAAATAATACTAATACACCAGACAAATGATCCAACAACTTTTCCTGTATAAAACCTACGTGTGTGCACCAAGTTCTTTCACATCATGTTCCACAATGAAATCATATCGTCCTCCAGCTCGTATTGATTCAACAGGTGATTTTGACGTATCCAAAAGCAGTATTCTCTGCCTTTCTGTTTGTATTTCCGCCTGCAGACAATCAGAAGTGACATTTTAAGTTTTAAATGCCACGATTGTAACTAGCAAGTAGAAAAGGGACTGAAAGCGTTTCGCAACATATGGAAACTCCTGTATTACTAACATGGGTAAGAGAGTATTAGGCTTCTTCAAAAAAATCATCATGGTTTATGTGTACTTTAGATTTTCATCATTATATTACAAATGTGAAGATCGGCAAAGAGCTTCTCCTAAAAATGCCTTACGGATTTGAATGTGCCCTAAGATATTCGTCTGACCCATCTTCAAGTTTTCCTGTCTTCTAATTAGTAATATGTAAGTTTGCACGGCAGATTGGACAAAAGCCTAAAACATTCATGGACAACTGCTATGAATATCATACAGAATTAGAAAATTCACAGTCTACGCTCCAATCGCAAGCCACTAAATACTCAGGACTACGATTTAAAGCCATTCAAAATCAGGCTGTACAGCAACTGATGACATTAATTATCTATAAATAGAGAGTTCACCTTGATTGTAACATCTCGAACTTCAAAATTAGAGCTATTGTTGATGCTTATATAACTGCAAAAAGTCTCACCCAAATATATTGCCCTAAAAGCACAAAAAAAAAAAAATAATAATAATAAAAATATCACGAACATCAGCATAATAAATTGATAAGTCATATTGTCAGTAACTTTTAAAAGACTACAAATTCACCAGCCAAAATTTCCTTAAAACCGAATAACAATTCCAAAGAGCAGTTCCTTCCTAAATAGCAAAACTGTACCCAAAGGACTGCGGGAGGACGAGAAGTCCGGGAAGGCCGAGGGAGTCGGAAGGGTGTTGGAGGAGGAATCTAGTGCGGTAGCTGAAATCGGAGGGATCAGTCGAATTGTTGTTTGATTGGCCAACATTAATGCTATCCAGCAAACGAGGAAGGTGGGAGGAGGCGACAGGATCGTCGAAAAGGTCCTCGCCAAAGAGCAGATCGCAAGGATCGAATTTGAGAGGGGAGGTATCAACGTGCAACGTCGGCCGGCACAGCCTCATTACCCTGAAAGCCAGAGAGTGCGCCGCTTGCTGCGTTCCACTTCCGCTCATCACTTTTCTCGAGTTTCAGATTCAGTTGGAGGATAATCTCTGTTTGTCAAATTCGACTGTTGAGGGTGAGTCTATTCACATTTACCGTACGTTCTTCGCTAAACTCACTGTTAATCCGCAGATGCTCCAAACCTTGTAGAGTTTCCTCGACATGATCCGGTTCGGCTCGATTCTAACGAGAACTGAACCGATTTGAAATTTTCGGATATTTAGTAAGTGAAATCGTCGGGTTCAAATTTAATTACGGAACCGTTCGGGTTCGGTTCCATTCGATTCGGTTGGTTCCATTCGGTTCCGTATTATAATTAAATTTTTTAATATATACAAAGTTGCGTTAATTTAATTAATGATATATTTAATATTAGATCTTACAAAATAACGTAATTCAATCTTATGTGTTTCATGTCTCTTTTTGCTGAATTTTTCATAAATTTGATTATTAAAATCACAGAAAGAGAAAGATAACAAGTTCAAAATAATTAAGAGAGATGTTGTAGAGCTTTAATTCGATTTTTTTCGGTAGAAACGACACTACAGTAGAATAAAAGATTTGGATAAAATTGAGGTCAATTTGATTAAGTTGATTTTGAACTGAATATTAGAAATAGGGAAATCATATTTTGTGGTTTGAACTAAATTAACTAGTTAACAAATTTATTAAGAAAAAATAAAATAATTTTACTTATTTAAAATAAATTAATTAAAAAATTACGGAGATTCGGTTCTTATTCGGTTCTTGGCCTAGAACCGAGAACCGAACCATACCCGTCGATTCTTGATTGAAATACCCGTTCGGGTATTTAACTTAAGAAGAACCGTCGGGTTCGGTTCGGTTCAGGAGTTTTGTCCAGCCCTACTTTCCTCTGATCTTTAATTTGACGCTTTAAACCTTTCACAACGTTGCATTTTAGGCTCTTTTAGATAGAATCCATTTAATTTACCTTTAATTGACCTAAAAAATTGATTTTGACCGTATTTCAACTATTTTTATAAGGACAAAATGGAAAATTTAATATATTTCTATATAAATATAACAAATAATTAAAAAAAGGAAAGGGAAAAACCCAAACCAAAAAATTAAAACCAAACCCACCGGAGGGATTCACATTACTCTTATCAATTGGAAATACATGAAAATAGCCTTTAGAAAGGGGCCACTTTTTCAAAATAACATTTGGTCAATTTTCATACCAAAAATACATTCCATTTGGACATTACATAATAAGACACTGTAATATAAAAATCCTCTATTTTAGTCCTTAAAATTAAATATTAGTTGAAATTTGATAGTTTTTATTTGATTTATTTGATTAATATTTTTAATTTGATTTATTTGATTTTTGTTTGCTCTAAATAGCCCCCCTTTATCGGTATCAGAGTCATAGAGATCATAAGAAAACCTATAAAAAATAGATTACTTGAAGAAGTAAAAATCTTTAAATTAACACTTAGATTTTATATAAGTATAATAAATAAAAGATTAACTATTAGAAAATTAAAGAAATATTTATATTATACATCTTTAAAATAATAATTGATTATAATACACAAATATTTATATCTTGATAAAAGCATAGAGATCATGGAAATTAAAATAAGAAAAATAGATAATTATTGGAGTTTAGAAGAAGAGAAAGGTAATTATATATTTTTAAAACATATTCATAATAGATTAAAAATAATGACACTAACAATAATTAAAGAGTTACCTAGAGAAATAAAGCAACAAATATTAGAAAAATTAATAATAGAAAAAATAAAGGATATATATACATATGAAAAAATTATTAATATATATGAAGATGAAGAAAATAATTTATATTACAAAGAAAAGTATGAGTGCAAGTGATAATACACATTCAAAATTGAATAAATTACTTATAAAAATGAAAAAATACAAGAGGAAATACGAAGTATAATGTTAATACAAGAAGGAATGAGAATATCAGATAATAGACAATTAATAAAATTAAAATGTGAAAGATTAAAACTTAAGAGTAGATATTTTGCTATAGTAAAAGAAGAATTAGTAGATCTAGATATAGTTGAGAGAAGATTTGGAAAAATAATAGATAAAAAGGAAGATAAAATATGCAAATTAACCAATGAGTTAAAAATAAGAAAAAAATTAAGATGTCAATAAGTGAATATATGGAAGAATTAAAATCATTAATAAAAGGAAAAATTGCAGCCGAAGTACCAAACGTTTCGTTTACTAGTAGACTTTGCCCAAACTTTTGATTTGTGCCACCGTGAGTACCAAACCTTTCAAAAATATGTAGTTCAAGTCCAAAATGACGGTTTCCATCTGTTTGACCTCAAAATCCGTCAGTTAACCCCAAAATCCTTCAATTGACCCCAGAAATTAAAAAACTAATAATTTGACCACATAAGACAAGGCTAAAATGGTCATTTTACCATTTTAATATAAAACAATAAAAAAAAGAAAAAAAGAAAATTGGTCATCTTCTCCAAGTCTCGAGCCTGGCTCTCCATTTTGTCTCTCTCTCTCTCTCCAACGCCCCGATTTACTTCGCGCCGCCTCCTTTGCCCGTCTTCTCCGCCTACTCCTCACACAACCACATCCACTAATATCTGAGTATCATCTTCATCTTATAACATAAGTCCCCAAAGAAGAAGAAATTTCATAAATTTTGAAATTAAGGTTTTTTTTTCCTTTTTTTTACACTATGGATTTAGATTCCTACTATAATGCATCAAATACAGAAATTCTTAATTCATAGCTCGGGGAGAAACAGAATCTGTAATTCATTTCCACCAAATCAAAACTCACAAAGAAACTTGGAATTGAAAATCAGAAATTGCTCATTTTCCAATTTCTAAATCTCCTAAATATTTTCCATTCATGTTCCATGAGGAACTTGAGATTTGATAATGGGAAGTTTTTACTCCAAGTTTTTTACAGGTGGGAATGGGGGCAATGATTTATGGGTATGGCCGGACGGTGGTGGCACTACCAGCGGTGGGTGGCATATGATGAGACTGGTTTTCCCCATTATTGAGTAGGTGGGGATGAGAAGAAAGATTTTTCCTTTTTTTTATTGTTTTATATTAAAATGGTAAAATGACCATTTTAGCCTTGTCTTATGTGGTCAAATTATTAGTTTTTTAATTTCTGGGGTCAACTGACGGATTTTGAGGCCAAACAGACGGAAACCGTCATTTTGGACTTGAGCTGCATATTTTTGAAAGGTTTGGTACTCACGATGGCACAAATCAAAGGTTTGGGCAAAATCTGCTAATAAACGAAAGGTTTGGTACTTCGGCTGCAATTTTTCCTTAATAAAAATATTAATAAATGATGTACAAGATTTAAGAAATGAAATAAAAGAAACAATAAATTATATAAATATATTAAAAAATGAAATTAGAGAATTAAAAGAAAATAATAAAAATAAAGATAAGAAAATAGATTAAAAAAAACTTATAGAAAAAGAAATGACTCGAATAGGAAAGAAACATATAGAAAAAGAGAATATTGTAAATGAAACAGGAAGTATGGATGATGAATTTTAAAAGAATATATTATAAAAAATATTAGAAGAGGAAGAAGAATTTAGAGAAAAATCATTAGGAAAATTAAAAGTAAAAGATAAAGAAGATAAAAATGAATGAAGAATTAGATTGACTAATAGAAAATTTTGATCAATTAAGCTTAACTGATATAAGTGAATACTAAGTTTTAATGAATACTGGAGGAGGACCTAATCCAACAAGAACATCTAAATAGAAATTACATAATACAGATGAAAGTTATGCACTTATATATAATAAACCATATATACAATTTTATGATAAAGTAAGAGATAGACAACCACCTAAAGAAAATAAATATAAAGATAGGTTTGAATTAAATGATAATTATGATAAACCAATTAATCATGAAAGAACAAAACTATATTTACATTGTAAAATAGATACTAAAAAAACCTTATTAACTTGGGCAGATTCAATGATATTATTCTTTTTATTTAATAAAGATGACGCATGGGAAAGAACTGAATAAAGAATGGATTTCTTAATAGTATCTTTTGAAGGAGATGTTAGAAATTGGTGGAAAGGAATAAACAATTATACAAAAACATTAATAAAAGGAAATATACAAACAAAAATAATAAAGTCAGATAGACAATGTATAGAAAAGTTATTAGAATATATTTTAGGTAAATTTTTAGGAGAAAATTGGATAAAAAATGCTGAAGGAGAATCAATAAGAGAAAAAGAAAATGCTAGAATAAAATTAATAAATTTAACAATATGTGATATGTGTAAAATTAAAGAATATACTTGTAAATTTAAAAATTACTATTATGTTCAATTTTATAGTAATGAAAATCTAGAAGTATATCAAGACATGTACTATAATAAGTTGTCAGGTTCATGGGGAATATATTTTAAAATATAATTCGAAAAATATGTTAGAGATAATATTGGATTACCTAGAACTTTAGGTTCAAGAATACAAATTTTATTTGAAAGACTTGTATATATATGTCAACAAAGACAATTAATGAAAATATCAGGAAAATTAACTATAATATGTTGTAAAGATATGAAATCCCATGTGCAATGGGGATGTAATCCTGAAAGAAGAATTAGTATAAGAAAGTATAAAAATAAAAAATTTAGGAATTTTAATAAAAAATATATAAAACCTAGAAGAAGATATTACAAAAGAAAAAATAACTCATATAATCAACAGAAAAATATAAGTCTATGTAAATATTGGAATTGTTGAGAAATAGGTCATATAAGCCCTAATTGTAATAAAAAGAAAGTTAGAATATTACAAAAAGAATATTTATAAATAAAAGATGAATTAAGTGAAATATCAAATATTGAAGAATACTATAATCGAGAAGTGTATATAAGTGAAATAAAGGATGAATTAGGATCTGAATAAAGAAATTGAAGAAATAGAAAGTAATAACATAAATATACAATAATATGAATAAATAGAAAGATATGGATTAAAAGTCACTTTTGATAATAACAAGTTTAGAAAATTGTAAAAATTATCTTCAAACTTAAAAATAGGAAAATGGGAAGTTTTTGATAGAATTTGGAAAAGAGAAAAAATAGCAATAAATGAATATTACAAAATAGAAAAAACCATAGAT